CGCCCCTGTGTGCGGGGAGTGGGGGGGGGGGTTATAACTGCTCTGTGTAAACATCCCAAGCGAGCTGGGCTGGGTTGGGGGAGAAAAGAGCAGGAGCCTTTTTCCCTTGTACAGTCCTTATCTAACAAGTACCGGGCCCCTGTGGCTCTAGCTCGGAGTTGGGGAACCTCAGACTCCAGGGGCCCCCGGCTCGCCTGGGTCCGGCCCCTGAGGCTCAGCATCGGGAAGCTGCGCTGATAGCCTGTGTAAACATCCCAAGCGAGCTGGGCTGGGTTGGGGGAGAAAAGAGCAGGAGCCTTTTTCCCTTGTACAGTCCTTATCTAACAAGTACCGGGCCCCTGTGGCTCTAGCTCGGAGTTGGGGAACCTCAGACTCCAGGGGCCCCCGGCTCGCCTGGGTCCGGCCCCTGAGGCTCAGCATCGGGAAGCTGCGCTGATAGCCTGTGTAAACATCCCAAGCGAGCTGGGCTGGGTTGGGGGAGAAAAGAGCAGGAGCCTTTTTCCCTTGTACAGTCCTTATCTAACAAGTACCGGGCCCCTGTGGCTCTAGCTCGGAGTTGGGGAACCTCAGACTCCAGGGGCCCCCGGCTCGCCTGGGTCCGGCCCCTGAGGCTCAGCATCGGGAAGCTGCGCTGATAGCTCAGCGCCCCCCCCCCCCCCCGACAGAGAGCTGAGCTCTGTACGCGGAGTGTGGGGGGTCGATTTCTGGGAGGACCTTTGGGCTAGCATTGGCCATGCAATCGAGGCAGCGGGAGTGGGTTCCCGCGCTCCTGGTTCTCTACGAGCCGTTGTGGGCTGGAGGGAAACGCGCAGTCTGGCTGATGCTAGGAAAGGTCGGAGAGCTAAGACCTGGGCGCCTGAGAAACTTGAGCCTGACGGGGGGTGGGAAGAAGGGGTCGTCTCAGTCCAACCGTGTGAACTGAACTGGTCCGAACGACTGGCGTGGCCCAAAGCCGCTTCGGTTCCTTCTGCTACTGGAACGTGTCTCTGGGCTGCCCTGGCCGTGTAAGACCATCCAACGGCCTGCCTAGGAGGCCACGTTGGGCTGCGCTTACTCGTGTGGAGCAAGAGCCTCTGCGGCCGGTGCGCCTTTTGGCCGCGAGCGCGTGTACACATGATGGAGTTGCACAGACTGGCCAGCAGCAGCCCCAGGAAAACCCTTCCTTTCCCCCTCCGGGGTGTCTCCTGGAGTAGCAGCGATCTCCGGAGGTGCCCGCTGGGTGGACGGGGGGTGCAGAAAAGCCCCCTCGGCCGCATCAGTTGTGGAAGTACTGCTGTCTCGAGCCTTGGTCCTGCCGACCTGCCCGTGTACGTCACGTTCCGCTTCCCCTCGGGTTTGAAATCGCTCCTTTGCATAAGGGCTAGCACTGCCCAGGCCCTTAGTTTGGAGATGCCTAGCAACCTGCATAAGGGCTGGCGCTGCTCGGGCCCTTAGTTTGGAGATGCCTAGCAACTCCTGTTCCCTCCTTAACGAGGGAGCGAGACGAGGCCTTGTAGCGTCTGCTCCTCAGCTCTTTGGGGGAGAAACGTGATGCCCCGTTTGATCCTGCTCTAGGGAACCCCTCCGGGCATGTTACAGTCGTGTATGTCAGTTAATCAGGTTTATTTACCGCTGCATGTTTCCCAGTACAATACAATAGTACTTTCAAGCAGGGCGTGGATCCATCGGAAGCAATACACTTAAATGTGATGCATATTGAAAAATACCAGCCTAGGCAAACTCTCAGACAAGAAAACATCTTAGGACATCTAAGGCTGAAAATAGGCATTCAGGATCGCTGACTTTAGATAAGCAGAAAGTCAAGAATTTGGGAACTTTTCATCCAAAAAGCCTGCCTTGAAAACAATGAATTATTCAAGGAAGCGTCTTTTTAAAAATTAACATTATTTAAAGACCAGTGGGTTAGGAGTTTCTTTCCCCGTATTAACAGTTTCCCCAGTCTCTGGTTTCCTCCTGGCATTTTTCCCAGGCTCCACTTTCTGTGTGGCATTTATGGAGTAGTAGGAGACCATTATCTGCTATCAGTGTTCTTTTCCATTATCTTAATTTGCTTGTTGGCAACCCAGTAATGTTCCTCTCGTTGTACGTATAAGATTGCAGTGTGTCACCATCGTTCGGAAAATGTCCCCAAAGCTTGGCTCATTACAAACCATGTTGCATTTGGGTATTTTATTACGTGTTTTTATATTCATCTGTGGGGTCTTGATGCAACAATCTTCATCACAGTCGGTGGTGGTAGACTCATTTGTTTCAGCTGGAGTAGGATTGGATCCCTGTTGAGAGTCGGGGTAGTGACTCCAGAATCGTTTGAGGAAAAAAGCTCCATTGGGGCAAGATCTGGATTGATGGGGAATATGGGTTTGTTGCCCTGCTAGGAGCAAACCGGGCACTGCAGTTCTCTCTGTTTAGATGCATAATTCTTCCAAGCAAACTGCATGGAGATGAGAATACTAAGATTTAGAAGCAAGAAGCGACTTGTCGGAAGCATGGATGATAAATGTGCCTTCCCCACGCCCATAACAGTCAAGAACCCAACGACCTGCCAGTCAGCACCGAAAGGTCTGTGTTTGGAGTGATGTTGATTTAACAAGTGGAGACCTGCTCTGCCCTCTTTTAGACATTTTCTTTGTAAATAGTAACAGATTGTTTGTTTGTTCGGATATTTCTTGGCTTGGGCAGCAAATTATTTATCTAAGGTTACAGGTTTCATCAGTGAAGAAAGGAGCACCCCGATAAAGAGCTGTTCTGCAGAGTAAATATTGCGCGGATAAAGGCCTGTACGATTCATGGGTGGTGGTAGTGGGGACCAGAAGGACTGCGGGAGTACGCAGAGAATGTCAAGGTGCGCCATTGTTTGCAATGGCTTTGAAATATACGAGAGGGACGACTGTGAAAACAGGTCAGTCTTTGTACCAAGAGTAGCGGCGACAATAGAAACCCAACACTTTGTTTCGAGCAGGATGAATTTTAAATGCTGTCAGCTGATACAGGGCAGCGCAAAGGGGCTCAAGTCAGCGCGCTCTCAAAGGCACGTGTTACCCAACCGTAGGAGGCGGGCGTGACTTTAATCCAATCCAGCTAGGGAGGGCGGGGGCCTTTGGAGGAGCGCACGGCAGCTAGTGAAACGGGTTGCAAACAAACACGTCCGTTGTTATTGGTGATGGCAAGCGTGCGGCCCACTGAGATGAAAGGGGGCCACTCAGCATTGGCAGCAATTAGGGATGTTAACAGGTTACCTGGTAAGCATCACCCTTAACGGCTGGGAAGGGAGGGTGTCCCTGCCTCTGTGTGTCAGAGGCTGGGAATGAGCAACAGGATAAGATCACGTGAGGATTCCCTGTTTGGCTCCCTCCCTCTGGGGCACCTGGTGCCGGCCACTGTCGGCAGACGGGACGCTGGGCTTGATGGACGTTTGGTCTGACCAGTACGGCCGTTCTGACGTCCTGATGCACCAGGCAGCAATCCAGGAGCATTGACATGACTTCCGAGAGAGCAATAACTGATGCTCCCAGGTACCCCCCGCCAGCATCGCAAGGGGAGCGAGAGGAAAAACTTCAGTGCAACTGTTGCTCAGATGCAGAAGGAAAAATCGAACATCTTCCCCAACCGATCAGTAGAGGACTGTGTAGCTATAACCCAACGCTGTTATCCTGGCCACGGGGTGACCGTGGACAGTACTAAGGTGCCGCCGGGTGACCGCGGACAGTACTAAGGTGCCGCTGGGTGACCACGGACAGTATGAAGGTGCCGCCGGGTGACCACGGACAGTACTAAGGTGCCGCCGGGTGACCGCGGACAGTACTAAGGTGCCGCCGGGTGACCGCGGACAGTACTAAGGTGCCGCCGGGTGACCGCGGACAGTACTAAGGTGCCGCCGGGTGACCGCGGACAGTACTAAGGTGCCGCCGGGTGACCGCGGACAGTACTAAGGTGCCGCCGGGTGACCGCGGACAGTACTAAGGTGCCGCCGGGTGACCGCGGACAGTACTAAGGTGCCGCTGGGTGACCACGGACAGTATGAAGGTGCCGCCGGGTGACCACGGACAGTACTAAGGTGCCGCCGGGTTCCTCCAGACAGTACTAAGGTGCCGCCGGGTGACCACGGACAGTACTAAGCAGCCTCAGCGGGGTGGCCACGTTTGTCTGTAACTTTATAAGCCACATGTTGTCCGGTGGCACCGTAGAGACTAACAAATACGCAGGCTCATGCGCTATTGTGGGCAAAACCCACTTCCTCAGAGGAGTACTCCTGATCCCCTATACTGGTTAGTCTCTAAGCCTAAGGTGCCATAGGGCTGCTCGTCGTGCTCTGCCGGTTGGGATTAGGCGGGGAGAAGTCCCCGCTGCTGCTGCCTGACCCCGCCCAGGGATGGCTCTGAGAATCTGAGTGCAGCTTTCTATAGCTAGACCCCCATCGACTGCAACTCACAAGGGCTTTGGGAGAGGCTGTGGCAGATTGACGGAGCCTTTGGGTGCTCTGTTGTGGCGAGGGACTGCCCGACCCGTTAAGCACTGACCGCTCTTTGCCCAGAGCCGTATTGTTCCGCAGGAAATGAACGGTCTCCGTGGCAGCCTGCTAAAATGCCACTCGCAAGCTGGACTTTAGAATCCCAGGGCTGGAAGAGACCTCAGGAGTCATCGAGTCCAGCTCCCTGCCCAAGGCAGGACCAACCCCACCTCAATCATCCCAGCCAGGGCTTTGTCAAGCCAAGACTTAAACACCTCTAGGGATGGAGATTCCACCCTCCCTAGGGAACTCATCCCAGAGCTTCCCACCCGCCTAGGGAAATAGTTTTTCCTACTATCCAACCTGGACCTCCCCCACTGCAACTTGAGCCCATTGCTCCTTGTTCTGTCATCTGCCACCACTGAGAACAGCCTCTCTCCATCCTCTTTGGAACCTCCCTTCAGGAAGTTG